TTCATGGGATAGGGACATCGCTGGCTAGGCCAACATTTATGGCCCATCCTTAATTGCCCAGAGGGCAGTTAAGAGTCAAAGACATTGCTGTGGGTCTGGAGTCACATGTAGGCCAGACCAGGTAAAGATGGCAGTTTCCGTCCCCAGAGGACATTAGTGAACCAGATGGGCTTTTCCTGACAATTGACAATGAATTCATGGTCATCATTCGATTCTTAATTCCACCATCAGGGCTATAAGAACTTTTAAAATCTATTTGCTAATGTTGTTTCATGTCCGTGGATAATTGAGCAAGGTGGGAAGATCTCTCTTAAGAATTCATTGACTGTGTTTGGAATGCTGGGGAGCAGTGATCAATGCAGAGGTACAGACAGTATCCTCGGGGCTCCCTTCTGCCCTTACAGAGAGCGAGCGGATGCCATTGCTTAAACTAAAACATAAATGAGACATATAGGAAACACTCAGCAACTGAGACACAGCATCTGTGTGAGGGAAGCAAAGTAAACATTTCAACGTTGTTCTTGTTGAAATGTTTGACTTGCTGAGTATTTCCAGCATATTTTTTGTTTCTTGTTTCACTTTTCTAGCATGGAAAGTATTTTGTCTGCACTACGGTTCCATCAGTTGGCCCTGTGTCATTCTTAGTAGCTCCCTGTGGTTTCATCTAACTTTGTTGTAATGTATGGCACTGAGCATACAACAGGAAATGAAAGAAATGTTGACACCAGCTAAGTATCTAACACATTGCATATAATAACAAGTATTAGGATGTTCAGTCCCAATCAATACTGATAAACATACCAGAACAGATTCTTTTATCTCCTCTATTAAATCTTTCTGAGCATCACCCTGTTAGACTATTTGTATTCGGCTGTCTTGAGGGAGCAGTTCAGGCTAGTGAATTGCCCTGGAGCAATCTCATTCGTTCTCTGTCTCTGCATGCATTATACGGTGGCTACTCTAGTGACCCTCACTGAACTCATGAGATGGTTGCTTTAAACACTGCGGGGGGAGCTTCGTATTAAATCTCTGGGGAAGTGGGTTATGGAGTGACAGTGCTGTATTTCTTTGTTGTAGCAGTACCTGTTTGAACAATCCTGAGATCATAAAACAAGTCTGGGAACTGAGAGTGCTTTTGTTTCCAGAGTTTCACCTATGGCAAGAAAAGCTGTATAATCCTAATACCTAGCAATTAATCATTCTTGTATTGATGCATCCAGAGGGCATGTTTGGACTGAGAGAAATGCTTATTTTAAGCCAATAAAAACAGACTGCTTCCTCATCTCCGCTTGATGCTTGAGGCGAAGATAAGTCAAACGTGACATTTTTAAATTTGTGGCTTGCACAGCCATCACTTATTAACTCCTTTGCTAAGTGCCTTGCATAATAACATGGCTATCAATGGAAGCTGCATGGAAAAAATCCTTTTACTGCTTCAAATAATTAACGTAAATTGGTCATATTAGCTATAAACACTGAAACCTGACTTACTGACATGTCAAACTTTCCATGATTTTTTTATGAAAAAGGCCCATGAAATATATTTTGGCTTTCAAATACGTTTTGCATATCAAATCAATTCATGATTTTCCATTTGTCCTGTGGGCAACAAAAAAGGTGAAGTGATAAGATTACACAAGCCCGTGCCAATTTAAATTTGGGAATAATTCTTTGTGTGTAACACACATGAAATTAGATTCTAAAGTCACAGCGCTACAATTACATTTTTACAGAAGCTTATTCATTTTGCTGTAATAAAGTTCTTCAATGCTCTTAATGACTGAGTGAGAAACTTTGTAAAAAGTCTGGTTAAGCTCTTTTATTGTGTCTCCCCCGTGGAATGTAATTTCTTAACATGTCTTTGAAATTGGGATCATGCCACTGAAGGTGTGAAAGTATAAGTCCCATTACTCTGTGCCCCTCACTGCATTCCTACTCCAGCTTCTTTCTGAGGTTACATCAATATTTGTGTTCTCTTTCCACAATGTTAAGGGATTTCTGTAAAGCATACCTTCAGTAATGGCTATTGTATATGGTTGATCTGAACTGGATCCTCACTTTCAGTTGCTCAGCAACTTTTCTTCTCTTCCATTAAGCAATCTTACAGTATTTGGCACCTCAGTCAAATAAATCCCATGTGTCTGAAACTATGGATTGGATTCTGCTTTGATACCCTGTGGTTACCATTCATGCAGTGACTAGGGTCATACAGGAAAAATGCTCACTTCTTGTTGTGATGGTGAAAGATTTTTGATGTGGTGTCTCAGCCTGTCATAAAGAGAAGAGGGAAGTAATGTTCATATTTTTAGAAAATGTTATTCTGTTGAATTATTTGCAATATTTTCTGACAGTCAAGTCCAAATATTGAAATAAAAATTGAAATAACTGAGGATTCTGTATATCAGAAACAAAAACAGAAATTGTTGGAAAAGTTCTGCACATCTGGCAGCATCTGTGGAGAGAAATCAGAGTTAACATTTCGTGTCAAGTGACCCTTCCTCAGAACTGTTCTGAGGAAGGGTCACTGAACCTGAAACGTTAACTCTGTTTTCTCCTTCAAAGATGCTGCCAGACCTGCTGAGCTTTTCCAGCAATTTCTGTTTTTGTTTCTGATTTACAGCATCCACAGTTCTTTTGGATTTTATACAATAACGAGGCCTGGTGTGTGGGGGTTGGGATAAGATATGGGAGAGCCAGACTTGAGCTTTTCCAGCAATTTCTGTTTTGGTCCACGTACCGAGATCTTCTCTAATCTTAGTGGTGAGCCATGTGCAGCTCACCATTCAGCTTAAGTTTTAGGCTCAGTTCTTGAATTCTGAGGCAATGCTGAGAGGTTGAGGGTCTGCTCACCATCTTCTCACCAGACACATGGAAAACTGGGAAGAAAGTCCTCTTATATGATCGTGTATATCTTCTAGCAACAAGTCAAGAATGTCAAAAATGTGGGAGCAGCTTGTCTACTCCACCCTTCTCAATGTAGCAGGTGTGTGACCTGAGGGAAGCACAGTACAATTATACATAAGTCAATGTAATTTTCTTTTATTGCCAAATTCTTTCAACTTCTTGAAGTGCACCCTGTCACTGAACTTGAAGTTTTCCATGGCAGAACTCGTTTGTCGATCACTTCCAGTTCTGTGAATGTGAGCATGTTCCTTTAAATCAAGGCTAAGACATGGTTAAATGTTACATCATAACCTGGATTCAAAAGTGAATGATTTTCTATTTGAGAGATATGCACCAAGGCGCAAGAAAGTAACAATTATTTAAAAGCACTGTACCTCTGTGCAACTGTGTTTGTACTCGCTCTTGTCTAAGAACAAAAACAGGACCCACGGTTTAGCGAGCAAGGAATCAAAAACAAGCTGCTGCTCTCATTGTTTTCTTCTTCATCTGATGGAATAGTCCAGTCCTCCTGCAGTGCATTCAACAATATACTTAGGAACTAGGCTTCTACTGTTGGCAAGTTTGACAAGATAATGAGACAGGAGGAGCACTTTGCATCTTACTGAGAGAAACTCTTTGTAACTGCACAGCACTGCTCAGTTGGAGCTCTCTGCAATTGCAGTACAGCAGATCAGGCTGGGATCCCGGCCTGACAAACCCGCACAAACAATGGAGGCATCAGTTGTCTCTTGATATCTTGTGTTGACAATACTTGCTGTAGATTGCAGGGAACTGAATACACGCACTTTGATGCACAAACTTAGCTCATAAAATAAATCTGAGATTCGGAGAGTGTATGCAAGTAAAAACACTTACAAATTATCCATCACCTTCAGTCAGTGACAATTTTTTACCTTTGAGTCTGTATCAAGCGAAAGAAATGTAATTCTTGTATTCTGGAGTTATGACTCTTCAAAAAAGCAATCAGGAGCAACATTTACTCGTCCCTCCCAAGTTGTGTTTCAAGAATGAAATTCAGGCAGAAATCCACAATTTCCTGTGTCTTATTACTCTTTGACAAGTGACTGCTTCTCCTTTTTGGAGGACCAATTAGGAGGAACTTGTTTTCTTTATTAGCAACTACCATTCTTAGTACCCAGGGGAAATCAATTCATAGAGATCATTAGGAATGTACATTCGGGCATTACAGGTACTGAGAATCCCTGCTTCCGTCACCTTCAGAATCAAGGATGCTGCAGTCAAATGTGGTTGGTCATTTTCTATCCATCAGTGGGCATGAAGCTTTGGAACAAAAGATTCCCTGGTTTGACACAATTATAATACAGCCATGATGTGGAAGTGCCGGTGTTGGACTGGGGTGGACACAGTCAGAAGTCACATGATACTAGGTTATAGTCCATCAAGTTTATTTGAAGCCATCTGACAAAGGAGCCACACTCCAAAAGCTTGTGATTTCAAATAAACCGATTGGACGGTAACCTGGCGTCATGTGACTTCTGACTTTATCTTAATATAGCCAGCCGAACAGGAATGAGATGGTTGTTGTGGGATCAGGAAATTGCAACATTGGGCCAGAAGTTGAAAACTTTTGAAGTTGGATTTGGGGCACGTTTTTGATGAAAATTGGAGAGCTCGCCTCTCTACCTAACTGTGTGATAGTAATCCTGACAATGTTTGATACTGATGTTGGGAGATGTTCAATGGAAAGTGACATTCCTCAACTTAATGAATGCAAAAGGAGTATTTTTAAGGTTTAATAGTGTGGTCCATTATTTGATGTCAAACTTTTTTTTTGGTAAGTTCCCTCACAGTTAAAGTAAGTTTCTAGATTGAAGCCTGTAATGGTAATAATCTGGTAGGACTGTTGAATAATTCAGCTCCATCATTCCTCTGCTCTTGCAATCTCTGCAATTTTAAAATCCTAAATTACAGCTACCTAAATGCCACTTTGTAATTTGCCTCAACTCTCTCATCTGCTTCAAAGTTAGACATGACCATTGCTGATGGGTCTTGATGTCTCACAACCTTCCCGAACTTAACGAAAGGAACAGTTTATTCATTGCAAATCAAGTAAACGCATTTTTATTTATTTATAGGCATCAGTGGAATTCTACGAGCAGAAGAAGATTCTGGTACAGAAGCAGATGATGAAACACATCTCACTTTTCACTCAGAACACAGAGGCAGGCGAAGAAGCAAAGGTAATTAGATATTCAATATGGAACAGCAACCTCACAAAATTGCAATCAGAAATTAGAGCGGTGGTTAAATTTCTGAGTTCAAATTCATTTAGCAGTTACAACAATGCAGCAATTTTTCATTTCAGCTACATGCCTAACATAAAAGAACAATTATTTGTCCAAGTTTCAGTTTCTGTCAGTGAGGAGCAAAAACATGCTGACTCGTACACATCTTTACAGTGTAGCAATTCAACATGAGCTAATTTCAGACTTGTCCTGTCAATTTCCATCACACGCTTGGCACATGATTTGAAGGAAACTATAAACAAATATGTGTCTAGGTTTTTCAACAATTTATGTCAATACAGAGATATTTAACATTAATATTTGTTCAGATCCCAGTGCTGTACTAGCTTGTTCAAAGCTGGTTTGAACAAATTTTAAATTGTTTGCAATTCAACATTGTTGCTTTAATATTAGCTAAGGCGATTAATTCTACAGTGATTTCATGATGGCTTCTGAAGAATGCCAACAAGTCTCAAAGGAAAATGTGAAAGAAAGCCATAATAGGGAAAGGAAATTCAGAAGGTTGGATGTGGAAGTTAAACAGACTGATGATACTTGTACACACTAAATCTCTTTAATTCCACATCACCACAAAACTACAAATTGATATGTCCATGGCTCATTTGGAGAGTGAAATTTCCCAGACCTAGGAGACACCAAAACCCTTGTACTGCAATCAACAGTTTTTTTTTTCCCTTACTGTGTTTGAGTGAATGTACATTTTACTCCCCTTTAGCCTTGTTATAATTTTGCCTTAGGGCTAGATTGTGTGTTTCCTACATTTGGAATGATAACGTACTATTCACAAAGTAAAGCTTGAAATGTCCAGACTCTTTTCAACCAGTTATAGATTCCCCAGGAGTTATTCCCACAAATTTCTAACACTCTGATGTTTGTTAAATGACGACTTAAAAAACAAAACATTGCTCTTCCATTCCTTCAGTACAGAAGGAAATGACCTCGGGCTTGCTCAATGTAATATAACTTCCTGAAACACTAATTTGGGAAATGTGCAGTCCAGTGAAACAGACAATCGTGAAATTCCAGCCATTGCTCTGTGCTGATGTTTTCTAGTTCACCCAGTGCTGCAAAATATAGGGAAGAATGGAAGAGAAACTCTTTGGTCCTGCTGTTGCTGTTTGAGTCAAAGACAGAGACAGGTATCAATGTCACTGCACAAGTCAGCATCTTTAGGGGTGGAGAGGTGAAAACTAGCTTTATCCAAGTATCACAGCAAACAGGATTCAGTGAACATAACCAGCGCAGCCAACCTTGATTAATTTAATTTTCTTTTCCTTGCCTTTTTGTTTCCAAAGCCATTTAAAATGCCATGACCCTAATCGTACAATAATTTACTATGGACTGAAGATCAAATCTGGAACCTCCTGACCGATATGGTTCAGTGCATCAACTCACTGAGCCATATAGTTCCTGTAAGAGAGCCTAATGTCCTTTTTCATTATTAGTTGGAAACATAAGAGAGATTTAGTTGGGGCCTGATTGACTCTTTGGGTGGTAGTTCAATTGTATGAGCTGGTTGCCAGTGTAGATTATCCTTTGTATTTTTGCAAATGCTCCTACACTAAATGCTAACATGAAAAGAGTCATAAAGCCATAGAGATATCCAGCACAGAAACAGACCCTTCGGTCCAACTCATCCATGCCAACCACATATTCTAAATTAATCCAGTCCCATTTGCCAGCATTTGGCCCATATCACTCTAAACCCTTCCTATTTATATTCCCATTCAGATGCCCTTTAAACATTGTAATTTTGCCAGCCTCTGCCACTTCCTCTGGCAGCTTGTTCCATACACACACCACCCTCTGCTTGAAGAAGTTGCCCCTTAGGTCCCTTTTAAATCTTTTCTCTCTCACCATAAACTGATGCCCTTTAGTTTTGGACTCCCCTAACTTGGGAAAAACAGACCTTGGCTAGTCACCCTATCCATGCCCCTCATGATTTCATAAACCTCTACAAGGTCACATCTAAGCCCTTGACACTCCAAGGAAAATAGCCCAGGCCAATTCACCCTCTCCCTATACTTCAAACCCTCCAACCCTGGCAATGTTCTTGTAAATCTTTTCTGAACCCTTTCAAGTTTCACAACATTTTTCCTATCGCAGGGAGACCAGAATTGAATGCCGTATTCCAATAGTGGCCTAACCCATGTCCACAATATGAAATCCCAACTCCTGTACTCAATGCACTGACCAAATATCAACATGCATGTTGCAGCTCGAACCAGCTATGATCCATTAGGAGAATTTGGAGTTCTATATGATGGTAATTAGCTTTAAGTAGCCACTTGCCCTGGAATAACTTCAGCTGATTTAAGATTGCCTGCCCGGAGGTAAATTGTTGGTGGGATCTTAGAGGGGGAAGTTATGTATAAGGTGACCTGCACAAAGTTTGAAATGCAAAATTCCTGCACTTTTAAGAAGTGTATTGTTAATATGCAAGTGTTAAACAATGTGCTTACAATAAGCAATGGATAAGTGCTATCTCTCCTGAAGCTACCCCCAGGGAGGAGAAATGGAATCAGAAACCAAGTAGATTTATTATGCTTACAACTACAGAAGAAGAAAGACATTCTTTATTCATCTTCACTATGATGCCTGCAAAAACAAAAATACCTTATTTGTTCTTTTGCATCCAGTCATGAGTTGTGCATGTTACATTGAGATTGTGACCATGTCCCTCAATCCCACGTCATTGCTAGTACTCTTAACGTCATAGAGTCATTGACTCCTACAGCATGGAAATAGACCCTTTGGTCCAACCAGTCCATGCCAACCATAATCCCAATCTAAAAGTATCCCACTTGCCTGCATTTGGCCCATATCCCTCTAAACCTTTCCTATTCATGAACTTATCCAAATGTCTTTTAAATATTGTAACTATACCTGCATCCACCACTTTCTTTGGCAGTTCATTCCATAAATGAACCACTGTCTGAGTAAAAAAGTTGCCCCTCATGTCTGTTTTCAATATTTCTTCTCTTGCCTTAAAAATATACCCCCTGGTTTTGAAGTCCCCCACCCTAGGGAAAAGACTCTTGTCATTCACCTTATCTATGACCCTCATGATTTTATAAGCCTAAATAGGGTCACCCATCAACCTATGCTCCAGTGAAAAAAGTCCCAGCATTTCCAGTCTATTTTGATAATTCAATGCCTCCATTCCTGGCAACATCAGGGTAAATCTTTTCAGAATCCTCTCCATTTAATAATATCCTTCCTGTAATGGGTCTACCAGAACTGTACACAGTACTCCAGAAGAGGCATCACCAACTCCTCTCAAGGTCTAAGCTATATAGACAAGCGTACTAAATGCCTTCTTAACCACCTTGTCCATATGTGACGCAAATTTCAAAGAATTTTGCACCTGAATTCCTAGATATCTCTATTCTCTTGTTCTCTAATCTTACCGGCTTTGCCTTTCACTCTAGCAGGACCATAGTGCCTCTGAATTCTCGTTATCACACTTTTGAGGGCTTCCCACTTATCAGTCGTTTATTTACCTGTGAACATTCTAATCCAATCAGTTTTTGAAAGTTCTTGTTTCATACCATTAAAATTTGCCTAACTTCAGTTGAGAGCTTTAACTTTAATGGAAGATTTACTTTACTCCTTGAAAACAGCACTGAAATTGAAGAGATATTGTACAGCTCTGCCTCCCACCTATGGGAAATACCAAAGACTTCACTTGTCCACCTCCTAACTCAGCAAGTATCGATCAATGCTGTGCTCATCCCACTCAAATAAATTCAGCACCAATGATGCAAAGTGCAGTATCACCACATTGTCATTTTGATAATTCATTGTTGCAAGTTATTTTGCATTGAGTCTCTTTCAAAAAAAAAATTCTTGGGATGAGGTCATTTGTTGTAAGGCTGGAATTTATTACTCAACTTCAGTAGCTTGTAAAATAGGTGGTGAGGCCACTTTTTTGAACCCATTGACCATCTTGAACTAAGGTTCATGTGTTGAAGTTCCTCCTATGGAGCTGATCAGTGTGGAGTTCAATAACTTTAAACTACTAATAGTAATGTTTATCCTAAGCAGGGTGCTGTGTGATTAATGAAGAACTTGGGAGTGATGGTATTTCCATGTATCTATCTACTAGTAGAGATGATGCTGTAGAAATTGTTGTGACTTGCTGCAATACAATCTCTAGATAGTACACATTGGTGTTTGGAACTAACGCATGTTTAGAAGGGTAATTGGCATACTAAATTGAGGGTCATGACTTACTGAGGTCAAGGTGTTTGATGTAGCTGAACATGGTTCTAGCCTCAAACACTGCCCTGACTAACTACTACAATACTGGGACTGAGATGATTGGCTTTCAGCTACCACAACTATCTTCCTTTATTCCAGGTTTGATTCTAACCACTGGAGAGTTCTATTTTATTGATATGCAGTCACTTTCATCTCATCTCTTGGATTCAGCTGTTGCGTCTGTGTTGAGACCAGGCTGTATTGAGGCCAAAAGCTAAATAGTCATCAAACTAGGCAACATTTAGCAGGTTATTAATGAATATGTGCCACATCACGACATGTTAATGATTCCTTCATTACTTTGCTGATTGTCCATGGGACAGGAATGCAGTAATTAGTTGAACTTGTTTTTAATGCTTTTTCTGCACAAATTTATTTCACATTTGCTTGGTAGATGGTAGTTGTATATATTTACGCAAACAGATTGGCTAGGGTTGCAACTTGGAACTCAGCTGTCAAAACTCCAACTGAGATGTAGCCAGAGCCATTCAAAGCCTGATGTTTGGTTACACATTCAACCAAGCCTCTCATACACACATCTCCATGCACGCTTTGATTTCTTTAATTTTCTTGGGATTCCTTTTCAGAGAAGTTTCATGGTGCATTAATAACTTATTTTAACTTTTTTTTTCAAATGCTGCAAAGTGTAGTGATTGAAAAGGTTTTGAAAT